TACAGTAGTCTGCATAGTCAGTGCTTCCACTGTGGTATCACTTAATTCATACAAGTCAACAAAAAATTATAGAAGATTCAAACTCTATTTCAGAAAATTCACCGATGTAACTGCATGTATTGGCGAGGCTTCTGAATAAGCTGGAGAAAGTGGTCGGTGATTTTGTTTTTTCCCACACCTTGATTGCCTATCAACAGAAGATGCGCTCCTAACCTCATGTCTCGAGCCATATTTTGAATAACGCCCATATGCTGTAAGGAAAAACTCAAATTCTATCTAGGAGCATGTGAATGATCTATCTGTAAGCAAAAGAGAGATCATACCGCAAGCAGAAAGAAAACTTGCTTCTTTGTTATCATAGAAGAGGACGTCCGGTATCATTGCTTCATCCCCATCCTTCACTGAATTCTTATTCAGAAGTTGAGATACGTCATCAGAAAACTCTGCAAAGATAGTTTGAAAATCTAATTTGAAAAAGTAAACGCTTCGCACCAGGTGTTTTGGAGTCAAAATTGAAGTTTGTTTTCTCTAATTCAGAATAGAACGACAATCGTATGACTGAAGGAAGGAACCTGGAATAGTGATTTTGATGCTTAAAGTACGGCAAAAGGTGATATATGCAGAAATCAGTGTCAGCTACTAAGCACAATTTACTTAGCAAGCGCAGCATTTTCCACAAGCTCTTTAAGTTCTCCTCGATGTAGACAGTCCCGCTTGACAATGTGAATGAGCTTCCGCATTGATAAAGAAAATGCAACACCACGTAACTAAAAAGGATGAAGAGATCGCTGAATATATACAAGAACAAAAACGAATGACAAACTCCTGCGTCTGCAGATGATCTCAGTCGTTCTACAAAGTTTACAAGCTTCGAAACAGTTGCTGCCGACGCTGATGGTACCACGCTATAATATAAGCTTACAACGTGCCATTTCCAATAAAAATTCTTGATGGCTTCAAATAGGAACTTTGACAACCAAAAGCAATATTATAATAAACATAAATTCATTGCGTAGTAAGTCAATCAAGCAAAACCGTTTGAAAAACAATGCGCTACTTACTAACTTGTGTGCATGAATTCTCAAAGAGTATGATTTTCTTACCCGTTTATGATGGTGCACTGCTCCTCTGGT